TTTATTGTAGCCTGCAATGAATTTTGGTGGTTCAGTGGTAAAGAATCTGTCTACCAATGCAGGAGATGTGAGTTTGATCCCTGGGTCAGGAAGATCCCCTGGAGAAAGAAATGGCAACCCTCCCCAGTATTCTTGCCTGAGAAATCCCATGGACAGAGGAGCCTGGGGGGGCAGTACACTCCGTGAGGTTGCAAAAGAGTTGGACACAACTTAGCAACTAAGCAACAACAAATTATGAATTTTAATTTTCTTTATTCGATATGTTCAGATCATAAGAGATTTTTGCTGTGATGAAATAAAATTCTTATTTCCTGGCAGGATAAGAAAAAATTAAGCACAAAATTCTTTCTCTGCATCCGTTTGGGCCTCTTTCCTCCCTCCCTAATGTGTAGTGTGTACCTGCATTACATGTTAAACAAACTTCCTCGAAGATAGTAGTGTTTGCTTGACCATAAAGATAACATTTTCCCCTTTCTTCTGACATTAGCAGTACAATTTCTTAAAAGGATAGCATTCTTCCCCAACTCTGCGGGGAATCACAGACTTCCCTCTCTCTTTATAGGTGCTTACCTGCACTATGTGTCCTTGGTGAACTTTGTATAAAATATCAGGATGTCATTTTGATGTATGATCCTTTGTCTCAAAAATGTGTATGACTGTGCCTTCAACTTATACCTGGCGGAACAGTTTCTCAGAGCTTTCTGAGAGTCTCTCTTCCGGGTTATAATCCTCAGTCTGGTTCAAATAAAATTCCCTTTCTTCTTAATAGTTAAACTGAGCTTTCATCGACAACTATAACAAGAAAAAAAATTAGAAACTAATATGGATAAAGGCAGAGCTACTCATGCTTATCCCCTTTCCACTTCCATCATCATCATGTAACCAGTAGTCACAGCAGTGGATATTCCTTCAAACCCTTTTCCTTTTACACACATAAGTATTTTCATATACAGGAATGTTCAACTGAAATATTATCAAAACCCATATATTACTCTCCACCTTTTTTTCTTCTGTTGGTAAGATTTCATAGACATCACTGGAAGACAGTAAACAGAGATCTAGTGATATTCATTTTTTTGGCAATATATTTATAATTGTAATAGAATTCCTTGAGACATGATGAGTTTTTTGGTAAATCAACATTTATTTGTTTTTCTTCTTCTTCCTTCTATCCTGCCTTCTTAACCTGAATCCTCCTTCAGCCACTTAAGGAATGTATATTAATATTATGATGTGCAGCCTTCTAAATATGACTATAGCAATATTTAGTTACTATAGCCAAGTTAGAAACATGCTATCATTATGTGCAGTCATCTGTTTGAGGACTCTCTATTCTGTTTCATTTGCATATCTGTATGATTGTTTTAATATCACTTTATCATAATTATTACAGCTTTATAATAAAGCTTGATATCTCCTATATCAAGTCTTATTAAATTATTCTTCAAGAGTATTTTGGCTATCTTGCCTTTTGCATTTTTTGTATGCATTTCAAAATGGCAAATTGCATTGCCAAGTTTCTCTTGGTTTACTTTTGTAAAAACTTTTCTGGGGGTTTGAGTGCATTTAGACTAAAAATCAATTTGAAGAGAATTGCCATGCTTATCATATTGAGTCTTCCAATCCATGAACATGGTATACATACCTGATTTGGGAGTGTTAGAAAATGTCTTTCACTAAAGTTTTATAATTTTCTCTGTAGTGATTCTGCACAAAATTCATTACATATATTTATAAGCTTTTCATATTTTATATTATTATAAAAATTATTAAAATTTCATTTGCTGACTTGTGTTGTTAATGTATATAGTACCATTGATTTTTGTACATTTCCTTTCTATGCATCTGTCATGATAAACTCTCATTGATTCTAACAATTATATGTAGATTTGTTTGGAATTTTATGAACATTGTTGATTTTTATATTCATGAATCTGTGTTCTATGAGTGAAATTTGCTAAAATTTCACTTTTTAGCAAATCTTCCTTTTTCATAGAATCCTTGTTGATAATTTTATTTTTAAACAACTTTATTGACATATAATTGGTATAAGTTCTTATTAAGCTCTGGTATCAAGATTATGTTTACTTCATAAAACATAAGAAACTGGGAATTGTTTCTTATTTTTATTTAGGTCGTATTAGAATTAGTTGTTCCTTGATTGCCTTGTAAGAGGTCTAATGAAGAGGTCTTATGAAGAGATCTAATCCTGATGCTTTAATTTGGTCAAATATTGTTGGCTGTTGTTTCCATCTTTGTAATGGTTACAGTATTATTCAGATTTTCTACTTTTTCTTGTGTCAGTTTCAGTTTAGAAAGTTATTTTTTTCTATGATTCATTTGTACCATTAAGATTTTTTTTGGCACACAAATTGAAAAAAGATTAATGAACCAGTTTCACCAATCTAAGGATATCATGAAGCAGAAGTGCAGAAATCCAGAGCAGAAATAACCAAACAACAGTAGGTAATCTCTAGATAAGAGGAGAAAAGAATGCCACCCTGACTTCCTGGTGGCTCAGATGGTAAAGCGTCTGTCTACATTATGGGAGACCCGGGTTCAATCCCTGGGTCGGGAAGATCCCCTGGAGGAGGAAATGGCAGCCCACTCCAGTACTCTTGCCTGGAAAATCCCATGGACGGAAGAACCTGGTGGGCTACAGTCCATGGGGTCGCAAAGAGTCGGACATGATTGAGCGACTCCACCACCACCGCCACCAAGAATGAGTTAAAATTTTTACTTGCAAACCTTATCACAGATAAAGACCTTTATAATATGTAAGGAGTGCTTAGAAGTTGAGAAGAAAAAAGCTAATGACTATATAGGAAAATGAGCAAAAGAAATGAAGTTTTCAGATAAAGAAATATAAGTGGATTTTAAGATATGAAAAATGCTTGAAATAATTGAAAACTTCTGTCCATCACCAACTCCCGGAGTTTACTCAGACTCATGCCCATCGAGTGGGTGATGCCATCCAGCCATCTGACCCTCTGCCATCCCCTTCTCCTCCTGCCCCCAATCCCTCCCAGCATCAGGGTCTTTTCCAGTGAGTCAACTCTTCGCATCAGGTGGCCAAAGTATTGGAGTTTCAGCTTCAGCATCAGTCCTTCCAATGAACACCCAGGACTGATCTCCTTTTGGATGGACTAGTTAATTTTACTAGCTGATGCCAAATTTATTTTCAAATAGGTTGCATGAATATTGACTCTCACTAGTAATGAGTGAGAGTTTCTTCTCTCTACAAACAATGAGAAAAAGGTAGACAACCCAGCTAGAAATGGGCAAGATGCTTGAGTTAACAGAAAATTAGAAAATCCAAGATAGTGGTTACCTCTGTGGAAGATGGAGAGGGAAGAAATTGGTGAGGATTAAATGTTGATAGGGCCTATATACAGGAAATAGTCTCCTTTTTGTTCTTGGTAAATGAGTGCAGGCTGCCATTTTAATGCTTTAATTCTTTAAAGAATATAAGTTCTACACACTTTTTTTTTGTTTGTATAATTTATTTTGTGATGAGGGTTGTTTTTTTTTTTAAGTAGCCTGCCAACTCCACTGTCTTGCATTTATTATAGCTTCTTAATGTTTCAGCAGCATTGGTGGGCATGATGAGGTCTGAGTCCAAAGAGACAAAGGATGGAGATTTAAACAACTGTTTGACTATAAAATATTTAGTTTGCTTTCATTCCTGTCTCACCCAGAACTCAACTATTATTTCCACACTTCATTTCTGTTCCTGACAATATCTAACTTCTGTGTATTCATTTTTATTACTCTGAACTATGACAGCAGTGACAAAATGTGAACTCAGACTAGCTTAGGCAGTTTATTGGGTCATAACTGAACTACGGCAAAGGTATGGGAAGAACTGCTCTCAAGATAGAGGGGAATGAAGGGCTGGCTTCCAAAGCTTAGTCCCTTCCAAAACCTCTCTTACCATCATTTCTCTGCTTTTCTAATTGAATTAAGTTTCTTTTTCTCAAACAGTTGCCTCCCTCCCAGACTGGAACCATAGCTTCAGGAGTTCCCAGGCTCATCTCTCTTACCTTTACCAAAATGAGGGACTTCGCCTTAGTCTCCACTTAAACAAAGGATGTCAACTGAGCATACACACACACACACACACACACACACACACACACCCTGATCTGTGACTGGGTGTCAAGCTTTCATGATCAACATCCCCACTAGATCCCTAAGTTGATGGTACAAAGAAACAGGAGTCCTTCAGAAGAAACAGGGTGCCTGTTTTAGAAAGGAAGAAGCCATGCTGGATGCATGCACTGTAGATTCCACCTTATAGATGACTTCTATTTTCTTCCCTTTCTGGGTGTTCCCTCTCTTCTTACTGAGATTTCAAGAGCATCATGCCACTCCAGATGTCGAATGCCACCTTCCCTATTAGTTTTTTGGTGCGTTTCAGAGACTGCCTGTGAAATGGAAAAGTATAATGATTAGTCATTAAATGTTCAAGGCAAATTTGCCTTTGAGAGTTTTTCTTGGGATCAGAGGGAGAATGAAAGAAAAGCCTAGCATGATGCTGGGAAGGGTAAATTGTTAGGGTAGGTCTGGGTGGGGCTTGCAGGAGCCGGGGAGTAATGGGGGAACACCTTGGCTATGAAAACAGTGCACTGGACCTACCACTGACTTGTTGAATGACTGTGGATGATTCCTCTCTCTCCTTTGGGCTTCATACTCTTTAATAAAGAATTTGGTCATGATGATGCCTACAGACCAGCCAGCCCGACTTCTTTGTGAGAATGTGAGACAGCTCTTGGGGCTATTAGAAATGATGTAACAGCCACCATATCTCCCCGTGGATAATCCCTGGGGAAGGGCCCAAGGTCCCTCCCAGGATGGGGGTGGATATTTCCTGGTAGAACTAAGAAAAAGTAACTCTTATCCCTTGTGAAACCATAGATCCACCCTTGGCACCTGACCAATCTGAAGCCGCATAAAACTAGGCTTAGCTTCAGCTCTCAGTCATACACCTTCCTGACAACATGAAGACCAGAAGCTTCTTGGTCCAGGTTGTGGTCCTTCTCGTCCTTGGGACGCTGGTGGCAGAGGCAGCTATTGTAAGAGGTGAGTGGACAAGTGGCCTGGGTGAGGCCGGCTTGGGTTGAGGAGAGGTTGTTAGGGGGCAGCCTGGGTCTTGACAAGGGGCAGCATGCAGAGCTGGAGCCCACTCTTCAGCCTGGATAGCAGGCTAAAGTTTTGAGTGTATCCAGAGAAGTAGAAAGTTGCCCACTAGACTCCATGTACATTCCGCCCCAGGACTGAGAAATCAGGGCTGTTTATGGAAGGAGTGTTGTAACATGACCTTGGCCTCAAGCACTGATACTTGGACTGAACATGAAATGAAGTTGAGGAGCCCCAGGAATCTGGGCCCAGGGTGGTGTCTCTTCCTTGCATTTTGCTCCATCAAAGTACCTGAGTCATCAGTCCTGTAACGGGAGGTTAAGAACTAACAGGGCCTCAGAAATCATGGAGTCTGAAGACTTTTGTTTTCCAAAGCAGGACACTGAGATCCAGAGTGAGGTGAGGAGTTGTCAGGGCAATCTCCAGAGCCAGGCTGGAGCTCAGGTCTCCTGGCATGTGTCTCATAGCTCCTTGCCCTTCCACCAAGTTTCCTCAAAGACGACAATGTGTCCTCATCTCCTGAAAGGCACTCCTCCCTGGCATATCCTCATGAGGGCCCCAGGACCCAGAATGGAGGGTGAGGGGAAGAAATGGACACCCATAGGAAACCTGGTCCTATGGACCTTTTCCCCAAAGCCCAGGGAACAGCCATCTGAGAGTGCAGACCCCAGCGAGCCCTAGTGAGCCTCCTCTGTCTCAGTGTCCCTCAGCTTAAGGGACACCACAGTGAGCAGTGGCTGGACCTGGAGGAAAGACTAGATAGTTGAAGAAGACATGCTGGTCTAAATATTAGTAATAGTAGGGATATTTCTTTCAACAGGTCTCCCAAAAGGTCAAGGCACTAAGAAAGGAAATGTTGTAGTCAACGGAAAGGGCCCAATCAATGGTCAATATCCTGTCAAAAGACCAGATCCAGTGAAAGGTCAGGGTCCAGTGAAAGGTCAAGGTCCAGTGAAAGGTCAAGATCCAGTGAAAGGTCAAGATCTGGTCAAAGGACAAGAACCCGTCAAAGGTCAAGATCCAGTCAAAGGACAAGAACCAGTCAAAGGGCAAGATCCAGTCAAAGGTCAAGATCCAGTCAAAGGACAAGAATGAGGGATGAGCCGGCTGAATAATATTTCAGTGTCACAAAGTGGGACTGAAAACAAAGCTCATGAGATTTAGAGTACAGGCTTTGAAGTAGCTGATATGCCAAGCCAATCAGAAAGGAGTTTTCCTAAACTTGAATGGCATCTCAGAGGGGACAGGCCCGGCAGAACTGGAGGAGAGCAGAGAAGATGCAGAGAGGAAAAGCATAATGTCTTGGTGTTACCTTCCCTACACGACCTGAAACAGACCAGTGCCATGACCGTGCCCTAGAAGGGTTTGCTGACACTCAGGATGAGGGTTTGGGTCGCACCACCGGGTAAGCCACTGAGAGTAGCTCTGATGGTAGCTGAGGACACGGAGACGAATGGGGTGACGAGGAGGGGTGATGATGATGGCCAGCAGCTGTGCAGGGGCTGGGGCTGTAGTCTGCCCCACGGACCCGCACCCTCTATGGTTCCCTACGGGAAGAGAGCCCACCAGAGCTGTTCCCCAGTGTGAGCGGACATGTGGATCCCCAGAGCAGAAGGAGGTGTGCAGCTCAGAGTTCCTTCAAGAAGCAGCTCGCCACCCAGCTGCGAGGAGTGTGCTGGCTGATCATGGACAGGAAGTGCCTCTCAGACACCTGGAACTTGAGCTGAGATCACATTATACCCGGGGAAGCCCCTGGCCAGGAACAGAGTAAGGCTGTCATTCAAGGCTCTTCCCTATTCTGCCTAATGGAGGACCCCATCTTATGGAAAATCCTTGCTCCAGAGCTTCCCTAGGGGGCTGGCAGGGATGCGATCAGGTCAGCAAGGTGATGCTCCTGGTACCTAGTCCTGCATCCTCTCCTTCCCTTTCACAGATGTTACTTTGCCATGAAACTTGCACTGCTAACTCTGTCTCAGCTTCTGCTCCCTTGAGAATGTAATCTGCAAAGCGTAGCTCATGGAGTTATGAGGCTTCAGGCTCAGGGCGCTGTAAGAATGAGTGTCCAGGCAGCGTGACCACAGCCAACCACAGCTCAACAACTGTGTGATGTGAACACCTTTACTCTGGGCCTGGACACTCACCGCAGCCACCAGTGGTCCCTGAGTGGGTGCTGCTGTGGATGAAAATACTGCATGGTCCCGCGAAGGGCTGCCCTTTGATCCTTGCTGCTTAGGGTCACTCAGTGGAGATCTAAGTGCCAGGCAGGAGCATCAGATTTGCCAGGCATCTTAGTGTAGCCCTAGGTATCAGGGTGAAGCAAAGTGACTCATTGATTTGTTCAGTGTCTGCAGCATGGGTCCAGAATGTCCCTCGAGACTCAAGTATGGGGACTTCCCTGGTGTTCCACGGGCTAATCCTCCATGCTCCCAATGTAGGGGACCCAGGTTCAATCCCTGGTCAAGGAACTAGATCCCACATGCCAAATAAATTAAAAAAATTTTTAAAAAGACTCAAGTATTAACTCAAAAGGGAGGTACCAAAACACAGTGGGCAGTCAACAAACATCAGATGCCCTCTGCCTACTCCCCGTGAAACTCCAGATAGTCTTCACATTGGCGGTTTAAAAAGGGACATCACAAACGTTGCCGTGTCTGAAACAGAAGCCACAGTTCCTGGTCACCATGGCAATGTCCCTCAAAAGTGCCTTCTCTTATCGGACTCCTCTTCTACCAGTTTCTCTCTTAGCAGTAGTTTCTTTCACAAGGTCATTTTTAATGGATCTGAATCATTTTTCTACCCATTTTATTTTTTTATTTATTCGGTTGCTCTGGGTGTTAGTTGCAGCAGTTGGGATGTTAAGCTGCAGCATGTGGGATCTAGTTCCCTGACTGGGGATTGAACCCAGGCCCTCTGCATAGGGAGCATGGAGTTCTTAGCCACTGGACCATCAGGGAAGCCCCTCTATCCAGGGAACCAGTAAAGTTGCTCAGTCGCATCCGACTCTGCCATCCCATGGACTATAGCCTACCAGGCTCCTCCACCCATGGAATTTTCCAGGCAAGAATATTGGAGTGGGCTGCCATTTCCTTCTCAAGGGGATCTTCCCAACCCTGCGCGCATTGCAGGCAGACGCTTTACCATCTGAGTCATCAGGGGAGCCCTAGTGCCTAGCCCCTTCCCCAAAGACCAGGTCTAAATCCCCCTCCCCCGCGCCATCCACCAGCCAGGCGTGTTGGAGGCGCCGTGTCAAGCGTCTGGTGTGCCATAGGTGCGCGGTGAGTGTCAGGTGCCCTCTGGCCTCAAGAGTCAGGCTTGGGTTTGAATATCTCTCATTCCCCGACTGGGGTGTCTTTGGCCAAATCACCGAGTCCGCCTCCTTCATTTACGTAAAGGAAATGCTGAGCTGTACCTTGGATGATTGGAGCTATTGAAGGCAGGATGTCCTGGCACCTGCTGGCTGCCCATACAGTATGTCTCCTTGCCCAAATTTGGATTTTTGCACACCAGAGGTTTCCTACAGTATCTTGGACAAGCCGGTATTTTGAACCTCAGTTTCCTCTTTTACACAATGGGATAGTAATACTTACTATCTAGGGTTATTGGGAGAATCATAAATTGATTCTGGTCTAAATGACCAGAAGGTCTTAAGGTGTGTTCCCTGGATTTGTCAAAGATGCAGCATATTCTTAGCTTGCTGGGAACTTGCTGAATCACAGACTCAGGGGAGGAGATTCAGCAGTGTGTGTTTCAACAAGTTTGGAGGGTGATTCTGATGCAGTCAGGATTGAGAGTCATTGGCTTAGACTTTTTAAAACATCTGTAGAGTCTGTCAGAGGGCTTCCGTGGGGGCTCAGCATTAAAGAAGCCACCTGCTAATGCCGGAGACATGGGTTTGATTTCTGGGTCAGGAAAATGCCCTGAGGAGGGCATGGCAACCCACTCCAGTAGATTGCCTGGAACATCCCACGGACGGGGGAGCCTGCCAGGCTATAGTCCATAGGGTCGCAAAGTGTCAGATATGACTTAGTGACTGAACAACAACCCTAAGAGTCAATCAGACAGAATTTTGGCACTCTTGTGTGACCATAAGGAAGTCATGTCACCTTTCAGAGCTCTGTCAACCATTGCCAGGCATGGTTAAAAAGTTAAATGATCTAACGCCTTTAGCAGGCCTGGCTCCAGAAGGGGTGTAGTAAGTCTTTCACCTGTTTTACTGTCTCCCAGAGTTAGGCAAACCTGGGCTTATCACCACCCCAATGCAGCTGGAGCCTTGAAGAAGATGCTTTTCTCCAGATTTCTATTTCTGGCACGATGCACAATTCACAATGCAGACAATAGTACCTGCTCTCAAAAGCTGGAGGATTAAGGTGGACATGATCAGCCTTAGTGGATACGCAGGAAATGTTAGCTCCTTCCACTGCTCACTGTCTCCAAGCTCTGCTGGATTCAAGGGCTAGTGACTCACCTCCTGACCCTCAGTAATCTCATCTAGGCTGTGGCTTCAGTAATGCCTGCTTCTCAGGCTGGACCAGGGACTGAGTGTGTATCCAGCTGCTGGCCCAGTGCCTGACAGGAAGCACGCAGAGTACCTGTCACTCACCCTAGGCCTGGTGTTTAAGTAGGTGGGGATTTCATCCTTACCTCTGTCACTTGTGTGACCTCTGGCCAGTCTCCTGCAGCTCTGGGTTTTAGCTCCCTTATCTACAGAATGGAGATAATACATTCTGGTGAAGAGTTATTGTGAGTATGTGTGCAGAGGCCCCTGGAACACAATAGATGCTCAATAAATGTCAGTTCATCACACTTCCCTCATTAGACTTGGGTTCAAATTCTGCATCTGCCATTTACTAACTGTTGACCTTGACCAGAATCATGCCCCTCTCTGAGCTTCGGTTTTCTCATCTGTGAACTGGGGAACATCTTAGGTTCTATGAGAAGTTTGGAGGATTAAATGAGGCAAATTGTTTATGGGCAGCATCATTCCTGGCATATAATTTGTGCACAATAAATACATATGTGATGCAGCCTCTATGCCTCTACTGGACTTGGAGTCAAAAGATGGTGTTTCTATTCCAGTTCCATCACCCATTAGGCACATGACTGTGGGCAAATCCTTTTCCCTCTTTTCTAGAACTCACCTTCCTGCTCTATGAAACAGGATGAATAATTTAACGAACCTTCTCTGACAAGAATCTGAATATCAGTAAGAAAGATTAAATGATTTGCTGAAAATTATTATCCAGCTAGCCCATGGCACAGTTGAGGCTGGAGACTAGATTTTTTGATTCAAGACTCTCCATATATTAATTTTGAGCACCTAGTATGTGCTGGTCACTTCTCTGGGCTCTAGACACTCTTCACTGAGTTTAATCCCTCCACCAACCCTGACTGGGAGGTTTTTGACTCCTTCTGTACAGATGAGCCGATGGGACAGCCTCAAAGCTCAGCCAGTTCCACGCTGCTCACTCCTTGAGGGAGTTCTCATCGTGGGGCCGTGGGCACTGGGAACCCCGGGGCAGCCTGGCTTCCTATTCTTGCAGCCCCTGTCCCTTCCCCTAACCTCGTCGTCGCTTCCCACCCCCAAGGGAGGTCCCTTACCTGTAGGGGCCCTTCCAGGGCGCCCGCGGGCCATGTGGTTCCCCAAGGTGAAGGCGCAGAGGCAGGAGAGCCGCTGTCTGGCGGGATCTCTCTGCCCTGCGGCCCCTCTGCGCCTTTGCAGCCTGCAGCCTCTGCCCAACCTTCCTCCGTCCCCGGTGGCTCAGGTCTATTGATCGCTGCCGCGGCCCGGGGAGGGAGCCTGGAAGCGGTGGTTTCTATTCCTGACTTGGTTGAGAGAGGAAGAGGGGTGTGTGGAGACTGGGCCCCCACAGCCGGGACATCCTCACCAAGTCAGAGGCCAGGGGATGAGTGGTAATTTGGTGGGGGGTCCCTGTAGAGAAGGACAGCAGTAATGATAGCTTTCTTAGTTGAGTGCTTAATATGGGCCAGGGGCTGGGCTTCAGGTGACTTATCTAAGTTCTTGCCAGCAGGGTCTTCTGTTCCCTGTTTCACAAGTGTCACTTGCTCAGGGCACTTAGCTAGAC